CCCGGTGTTTCCTCTCTCAACTCCTTTTGGAATCTTTCTGTTCCCCGGTTGAGCTGCCAAAACCTGCAGACACCTGTCCTTCCTTTGCTTGGTGCAGCTGCTAACTTGTCTTCCTGCCTCATATCTACCCTCCCCTCAGCTGCAAAGCCATTTACCCATGTGCCTACTCCGTCTATACCTTTTGGGGGCTTCCTGTTACCTGAAGGCTAGACTGTCTACCTTGGTATGGGGAACACAGCCTCCCTGGTCTGGTCACTGTCCATTTCACCAGCTCGTCTCTACTACTCACTGACATATTTTACACTATAGCAGCAGCAAATTTCTCTGAGGTTCTTGAATAAACTATGTTTTTTTATGCCTCCATGCCTTTATTCCTGGCTGGCCACGCCCCCCCCCCCATGGCCCCCTCTGTCTCCTATAAAACTCCTGCTCATCCTGAGACGAAGTATAGGCACCTGCCACTTCCACCCTCAAAAAACTTTTTTGGTTCAATGTCCATGCTCTCTATACTCATAACAACTTCTGCATACCTCTATTATTGTTACTACTTCTGTCATTAGTATCTGTTTGTGTATCTCTCTCCCACTGGACTCAGCTCTTGAAGGCAGGAGCTGCTTCTTATTTATCATCATATCTCCAATATGTATCAAACCCAGTACCTAGTATATAATAGATGCAAAATAAATATCTGAGGAACAAATGAATGCTATGTATAAGGTATACATAAGGCACTAAGTAAATATGTTGGCTGATTAAAAATGATGACATTGAAGTACTATAGGATCCATATGGAAATACTTTTCAAAAGTCACTGCCTGATAATAGCTATCCTGACAGGTGTGAGGTGGTATCTTCTTGTGGTTTTGATTAGCATTTATCTAATGATTAATAATATTGAGCATTTTTTGTTATAGCTGTTGGCCATCTGTATGTTTTCTTTGGAGGAAAAAGAAAGAACAAAAGGTAGAGTGTTGGCGAGGATGTGGAGAAATTGGACCCCTTGCACACTGGTGGTGGGAATGAAAAGTGTGTCAGCCACCATGAGAAACAGTATGGAGGTTTCTCAGAAAATTAAAAATAGAGCTACCATATGATCCCTCAAACCCATTTCTGGGCATTTATCCAAAAGTATTGAAATCAGGATCTCAAAGAGATATTAGCATTCTCATGTTATTACAGTGTTGTTCTTAATACCCAAGATATGGAAGCAACTTAAATGTCGATAGATGAATAGATACAGAAAATATGGTATACACACACAATGGAATATGATTCAGCCTTTGCAAAGAAGAGTACCCTGAAATATGTGACAGCATAGATAGAGCTTGAGGATATCATGCTCAGATAGGTCAGTTACAGAAGGACAAAGACGACACAATTCCACTTAAACGAGGCATCTAAAATAGTCAGATTCATAGAATCAAGGAGTCGAGTGGTGACTGCCAGGGGCTGGGGGGAGAGGAAATGGGCAGTCACTAATCGGTGGGTGTAAAGTTCCAGATGAATAAGCTCTAGAGACCTGCTGTACAACATTGTGCCCACAGTCTACAGCACTGCACTGTGCACTTAAAAACTTCAGAGGATAAACCTCATGGTAAGTTTTCTCACCATACTAAAACCTCCTTAAAACCCTATTCCCTGGTACTGACCATGGCTGGCGCTTTTTCTGCCACCCCTTTTTTCTTTAATAAAAATGGCATGTTAGTTAAGGTGTACATGCTGGCTTGATAGGCATATACTAGTGCAATGACTGCTAGCAGTCAAGCTCAGTAACATATTTCCTTCTTCCATTGTTACTTTTTTTTCTGTATTCTGTACAATTTACTTTGCATTCTGAAACCTGCCCTTATAGCAAATTTCCAGGACACAATAAGTATCGTTAACAATAGTCCTCATGCTGCCCATTAGATCTCTAGACTTATTCATCCTACATAACTGCAACTTGGCGCCCTTTGACAAACCTCTCCCCATTTCTTCTACCTCCCCACCCCTGGCAACCACTGTTTAACTCTCTGATTCTATGTATCTGACTTTTTTAGGGTCCACATATAAGTGAGGTTGTACAGTTTTTTCTTTCTGTGTCTGGCTTATTTCACTTAGCGTAATGTCCTCCAGGTTCTTCCATGTTGTTGCAAATGTCAGGATCTTCTTTTATGAGGATGAACAATATTAATGTGTGTGTGTGTGTGTGTGTAATTGTGATATATAAATACATATATATCACAATTTCTTGATATCTTCATCTTGGTTGTGAATAGTGCTGCAATGAACATGGTGGAGAAAGAGAATCTGCAAGGTACTGATTTCATTTTCTTTGGATAAATACCCAGAAGTGGGATTGCTGGATCATATGGTAGTTCTATTTTTAACTTTTTGAGGAACCTCCATAGTGTTTTCCATAGTGCTTGCACCATTTTTTATTCCCACCAACAATGTGCAAGGGTTCCCTTTTCTCCACATCCTTGCCAACACTTTTATTTTTTTGCCTATATCATTTTTACAAGTGTGAGGTGATATCTCATTGCCTACCACCATTCTGATATCAGCTCCCTCCTGACCATTCTGTATCTGTCTCTGGTACCAGAAGCTATAAGGAAAAATAAAACTTTAGGACAGAGGTGATAGACGAGCCCTGTGAAGGTGTGTTGCCCGTATTGGGCATGGCTGTTGGTCATGGGGTTGGCAAGTTTAGATGTTAATCTGCACCATAAACTTTTATGCCAAGAACAATTGGGAATGCCTTCATTTCCTTTTGAGTGCCCATGGTGAGATAATTTGTAGATTATTTAACTGACTTGATATGTAAAATAATCATACAGAGATTACACATGCAAATAGGCAGGTCCAGGACCATGGATGTCAGTGTTCTGCACATGGAGATAAATAGCACAGAGCTGCTGTTTCTCCTCTTTGGACCTGCCACACGAGCCTCCTAATGAAATAGCCTGGCCAAGGAGCCCCGTGAAATGTCTAGATCTGAGGAAGATTTTATAGCTCCTGTTCTTTTACAATCCTTATTTTGAAATCCTCTTTTTAAAATTTAATTTAGTCTCTAAGCTAGATCTATTTCCTTTTCTTCCATCCTCAGCACAGGCACATAAACACAGTATTCAGTAACTCCCCCTCCCCAAGAAAAGAGCCAAAACCAGAAGAAATTGGGATATACATTAAGAAAATTGGCACAGGAAGAATAAATCTTTCTTGGAATTTTCTTAACGATCTTTTTTCCTTGAAAGGAAGGCCAAACTGTAAAGTAAACGTACTCCATTGTTAATAAACAGAAACTTCGCATATCTAAAATTCAGTTATTTTCCAAGACACAGTAACACTTTGCTCTGCCTGCTTTTCCTAACACTCCAGTTTCTTTTATTCCACATCCTCATCATGGGAGATGTTCATGCCCATCTCCCTGCCCCGGCTTTCCTGGGCAGGAAATACGGGCTCGGTGGTTTCAGGAGCACTGGCTTCTACTCATTCCGCCAAAAGTAGCAAATCTTCAAAAATGAAATTTTCCAGGCACTTGCACCCTACATCAGCCTTGTGGGGATAGAGGCTTTAGAATCCTATCAGCCCAAGAAGGTCTTACAGCTTTAAAGATCCCACCAGCCAGTCCCCTATGCAGCCTGGCTGGGGACACAATGTTTTGTGGCAGGAGTTGGCTGAAGAATGACTGTACCGGGGCTGTTTCGAACCTTTATTAAATTTCTTATTTGCTGACAAGCCTCACCCCTCGCAGGCCTGGAGTCTTTGATTCCTGTTTGTTCTCATTAAGCCGGTCTCTAGGCTGTAGCCGTGTTTGAGCAAAGTTTGGCTACGTGGGAAGATTCAGGGCTTGTGTATGGGCAGAACTCCCACTGCGGCCGCCACCCTCTGGGCTGTCGAGGGCAAGTTCTCTGCTACCCAGCTTTGCACCTGGCTTTCCGGAGTCCTGTCCGCCCTTACAGCCCCAGCCGCAATCCCGCCCCTTCCCGGCTGTCCAGTCCCAACTGGGGCCTGTCTCTGCCTCATGTGGACCTCAAGCTCATACTAGATCTTCCCCTGGGTCTTGACCAGCCATACAAAATGGGATAGGGAGTTTAGAACCACATCATCTAAAAGCCAGAAATAATATGGGGAATTTTCTGGTCTGTCCTCTTCATAAGATGAGAAAATTTGGGTCCAAAAAAAGTGTCAGTGTCCTACTAATGGTGAAGGTTGCATTGAAGGTGATAGTATAACTGGAATGAGAACCTAGGATTTTATGGAACGAATTGTATTTGGAGCATTTAATAAAAATTTCTACTCCTTGTTGTTAGATGACTGTTGGTGTCTCCAGAACTATATGTTATTTGCACTAACATCCCAACATCCCAATTTTAAAATCAACTTGGAAAGGGTTCAGTGGAAAAGGGTGATAGTATTCTAATTCATGCCAACTTCTGCTTCTGCTTATTGCATATTAATGGGCAAAACTATAACCTTTCAAACACCCGGTTGGGCATGATGGGGTGACAGTGTGCATTTCATGGTGACTTGTGGCAACTTGGTCCTCACACAGATAAAATTTCCTTTTCTTCCTATGATGATTTGTTAAGCAAAATGAACCTGGAAGGGGCCCTAAAATGTATAGTAAACTTATATTTTGCTTATTTTTTCCGCTGACCCATCATCTATAAAGGGGCAATATCATAGACAGTAAGATCAATAACATTTATACACAGAAGGCTGTCTGGTAGGTGTTTAAGGTGTATGGGGCTCTGTGTTGAATAATGTGCAGAGTCCAGGTAGACCTCAGTTATCACCTGAGTTGTTAGCCCTTCTTGCTATTTATTAAATCACAAATTCTCTTCTGTGCCGCCTGTGCCAGCAGAACGTGTGGACCCTTTGCTGCGACCCTGTCTGCAGCACCCACAGTGCGGGTTTTCTCAGCTGGAGTGAAACGGGCCTTCCTTGTCAGCAGGTGTCTGACAGTCACACTGGAGATGTGACGTTTCATATCCTTTCTTCATCCTGTCTTCCAGGCTCTGTGGCTACCCTCCTTTTTATGATGAAAATGACTCCAAGCTCTTTGAACAGATCCTCAAGGCAGAGTATGAGTTCGACTCCCCCTACTGGGATGACATCTCCGACTCTGGTAAGTCTTGGCTTCAGCAGGGTCTCAGGACGGTCTGCACTTGACTTGCAAAGTGGAGGACAAACTTGGGACAAGGGTTCCAAATCAAGCCATGGGACAGGGACTCACTCCACCAAATCCTAGCCCTGCCCTGACCTGGGTGCCCCAGGAGTGAAAACATGTTAGCTAATATGTATTGAGTGCTTACTGTGTGCTGAGCCCTGTAAGCTGTACACGTGCACTATTTCACTCAATTTTCAGGACAACCTATCAGATGGTATTACTCTTAACCTCTTTGAGAGATGAGGAAACTGACGCCCAGAAGGTGAAGTAACTTGTCCCAAGTCATACAGGTAGTAAGTGGCAGAGCTGGGACTCGAACCCAAGGCCCACTCCAGAGCCCACATCTCAGCTACCATGCCACACTAACACATTCCCAGGGAAGTTCAGCATTTCTCCCATGGGGGTAAAGACCAAAATCAGGGCCCATGTAAACTGACGAAATTTTTCAAGCTGATCCACAGAAGACAGTAGTAATACTTCCTAACAAGAACGGTAGCATAAGAATCAAAGAAAATAATAAAAGAAACAGCTTCATACTCACTGATGAGCTATTCAAATATTGCTTTTTATTATTTGTGTTATTTCCTCCTAACTGGAAACACCTGCTTCCTTCCTCAGTCTTCCAAAGCCTAGAGAGCAGTTCTCCAAGGCTTGCAGGAAAGAGCCACATGGGAATATTTTACTTCTCACCTGGGAAGGGCATGGCCTTCCTCTGAAGCCCGGGCCTGTGGGCCGTGAGCTGCCAGAACCTACGAGGCTGTAGATTTCCAGCTTGGCCCACAGGTGTCATCTTCTAATTCTGTGACCCAGTCTCAGATGTTCTCAGTGTTCTGCTATTGGGTCATACAGAGTTCCAAACCTTGGCTTCCCTTTTCCCCAAATGCTGTACCTGTGGCCAAGGTACTGTAAGGTCTGTGGAAGGCTGGCCTCATAATTTTGATGCTACACACAGTAGTCTCAAAGACCTGCTGGCAAGATATCTCAAGCCACAGACTGATTCCTTCCCTTGTGCTTTCTTCCTAAACAGCAAAAGATTTCATTCGGAATCTGATGGAGAAAGATCCAAATAAAAGATACACGTGTGAGCAGGCAGCTCGGCACCCATGGTAAGAAAGATCCCCCACTGGAGAGACTGTGTCTCTCGCCTTCCCAGAGTGTTGGTTGTCACTAACTGGGGAAGCAACAGTAATGCTTGCATTTCACTCTGGCCTCAATCATGTCCCCTTGCCAGCACTCGAAATCTTGTGTTCCCTCAGGCTCAATCTTTTAAATGTACTATTGACAGGTTAAGTGTGAGAAAGGTAGTTGTAGTTTTATCACTTTAGGAGAATTTTTTTTGGATCATTTTTAGTGAAGGTAATTGCCCAACAAGGTATTAAGATGACAGCTTTATTCCTTGAGTTTATTACTCAGTAGTTAAATGAACTGAGGTTTTTTTCCCCCTTTTAAGATGCTTTTCAAGTAGTGTTTCTTCCCCTCTAGAGGGGTAGATTGATGGTTTACAGCATTCTGTGTACATTTTCAGTAGTGCCCTTGAGGAAGCCTGTTTGTGTGCCACCTAGTAGGTTTGAACCCACCTTCACTATCAACTAGCTGTGATTTAGCGTTTATACTTAACTTCTCTGAGCCCCAGTTGTCTCATCTCTAAAATGAGGATACTGATACCTAGTTTATAGGGTTGATGTAAGAAATAACTGAGATGACGCATGTAAAGGGTTTGTCGCGATGTCTGGTGTAGAGTAAATGCTTCATTAAGCTGTTATTACTAAAGCACCAAGAGCATCCATTTGAAACAAAGGCCAGGAGTAGTAAAATATGCAATATAATGAAAATAAAGGGACGGAACCTTGAGTTTGGGAGAAATTCCTCTAGGAAACACTCCAGAAGACTGTCCCCTTGTTTATTGCACCATCTCCTGTAGCATTTCCCCCAGGGTCTAATATGCTGGTTAACCCCCAAAGGGACCTGCTTAGGGTCATGCCATGACCCAGTTTCACAGCATTTTAATTTATAATAACATCTGTCATTTATTGAGCACTTACTATGTTCCAGGCACTGTACTAATTGCATTAAAAGAGCATCTCATTTCGCTTTTTTTTTAAAAAAGGTATCTATATTGATTTCAGAGAGAGGAAGGGAGAGGGAGAGAGAGAGATAGAAACATCAATGACGAGAGTCATTGATTGGCTGCCTCCTGCACGCCCCCCACTGGGGATCAAGCCTGCAACCCAGGCATGGGCCCTGACCAGGAATCAAACCACGACCTCCTGGGTCATAGTTGGATGCTCAACCACTGAGCCACTCCGCCTGGGCTCATTTCGCTTCTTTCTAATAACCCTGTAAGCTAGGCTTTACCTCTGGTCAGAGATGAGGAAATGGATTTAGGAAGGTAAAGTAACTCAGCCAAGACAATACAACTGGATAATGGCAAAGCCAGAACTGTTTCCTGCCAGAGCTGTGGGACTCCAAAATGAGTACCCTTCACCGCCCTGCAGAGAGGAGAGTAAATGGGAAGGGAGGAGTAGGCTGAAGGGGGAAATAAATAATTTTATGAATAAGGAGGCAGTTTTGATTATGTATTATCTTGATTATTTTTTTTTTAGTAAGTCACTCCATACAGTAGGTCAAAGTATGTGACCATAAAGATAGTAAAGTTTTCTTTTTAAACAGTAGGACTTTAAATCTGTAATACCTTTTTTCCATTTGTATTGAGATGTTTAAGGTGTACAGCAGAATGACTTGACATTCGTATTTATTGTGAAATGATTACTGCAATAAGTTAACATCTATCACATTATATAGTTACAAAAAAATTGTTTTTTCCTTGTAATGAGAACCTGGAGGATATACCATACAGTGGTGTTAACTGCAGTCGTCACACATGTTACATCCCCAGTACTCCTTTATCTTATATGTCTGGGACTTGGGATTATCTTATAAAGGAGGGAAATGACCTCAAAAGAAGGGAAGTGATTTGCTCCCACGTACTTGCTCACTGACCTGGCCTCACTTCGTGGCAGGCAGAAGGAGGTCAGTTAAAGCGCAGTTTCTCCTTCACCAGCCAGTTTTGAAAAACCAAAGAAGGTAGAGGTCATTTTTACTGAGGGGCCTGGCAGAGGGACAGGGTGGCCTAGCAGCATGAAGGAGGACTTCACAGAGACGCGGAGCCTCACACTGTGAGAACTCTCTCACCAGGGCACCCAGGGCACCCAGAGCACCCAGGGCAGGGAGGAGTCCCAGTGAGGCGAGCAGCCTGGTCCTGCCGGGCGGCTTACGCTGCACATCCATCCCTCATGCCACAGCACTGGGTATTCCTGGAGTAAGAGGGACAGAGGAGCGAGGCAGGAGATGGGACTAAAAAGGAAGGCAGCGCAAGGGTTCTGGGGATTAAATGAGACAACACATACAAAAAAGAAGAGTACCTAGTAGCTCATAAATCTCCGATCTATATGAATTGCCATCATTTTAGTATTGTACTAAGGAATTTGTATTTTTCCCTTTGGGCAGTGGGAGCCCCTGGCAGGTTTTAAGCAGGGTGATCAGATTTGCACTTCAGAAAGCACAACCTGGCTGCCTGATAGAAGTAACTTGTGGAGATGGGGCATGGGAAGGTGGCAGAAAGGCACAGACAGGAGGTAGAGAGAAGGCTGGCCTGGAGAAGGGTGAAAAGTGGCCTGCCCAGTGCCACAGGGATGGAGAAGACCACAGGAGACACTCCCATGGAAGGGAAATTACAGGACTTGACAGAGCACTGGTGGGCAGGGTGAGACAAAGAGAGGGGTCTGAGGTTATTCCTGAGTTTCCAGTTTAGGAAACTGGGATGATGATTGTGCTAGGAGAGCAAGCAGGCTGGCGTGAAAGAGGAGGAAGGTGACGGGTCCTCTAGGCCTGTGGTGTGGGCTGTGCTGAATGGGTCTGGAGCTCGGGAAAATGGTCACATGTGAGATAAAGACCTGAGTCAGAAGCCTGGGTCACAGTAAGACGTGTTATCTGTGAACTGAACAAATAAGTGCCTTCTTTAGAGGTGTTTTTCCCCCAGTGTTTTATCATTTTTATTATTCATTTCAAAATTCCCAAGTCAAACATTGGAAAATAATTTCAAAAAAAGAAGAAAGAATGCATTTGTCTCAAACATCATTGAAACACCCTATTTGCTTGCCTGCAAGGTATGCCTGTTTCTTTATGTAAAATTCCCGGGCGAAGGAGAGCAGGGATTCAGCTGAGAGCCACAGAGAGTGGAGTGATGCATAACTCTGTGGTCATCACCATTCTGGAACCTGCAGTCTCCACACATCAACCCTCTCCAGTCAGCAGCTTCTCTTATTCAGCACTTGCTCTTCCAGCTTCCTCAAGGCCACCTGGGGCCAGGGGAGGCCACTGGAAGTCACAGACACCTTCCCTTAGCCTCAAAACAGACCACTCCAGACAGGAGGGGGCCCCTTGCAGAGGACAGTCAGCCTAGCTCACCAGGTATTTCCTGAGCCCCTCTCCAGAGGCCTTGCCTTTCTCTTGGTGGTGCATGGACAGAAACTAGTAGACTGCTGGCTGGTAGGTGAAGAGTAGGGAATGACAAATGGCACATGGGAACCCGCTCCTGGTTGCAGGGAAGCACCTTGACGGGTTCACTTGTCCAGCTCAGATTGTTCTGAACCTCAAGCTCCAGTTTCAGTAACAAGCAAACCAGAGCAATGATCTGGGTGTCTGTGCCCCAGTGACACAGTGCCCCATGGCAATGACAGTGTGCCCACCTTCAGGACCTTCAGCCCTCTTCTCAGTATTCATGGAGACCCCTCCTCTCTTCTGTCTCCATCCAGCCATGCTGGAATTAGGATACAGTCCAGGAGTCTGGGAGACAGACCCCTGACTGAGACACACAGGCATCCCCAAGCCTGTCTTGAGCAAGAGGCTAGAAAAATGCAAAATCAGAGCAATGGAGGTAGAGCAGCCTGTGTATAAAACACAAGAATACCAAAGGCCAGGAGAGACAAGCTTGATGCTATGTGTGTGGAGGACAACAGAGTGCGATTTACATGAATGCCACCTGCAGTGTTGGAATAGAGGTAAAGACCGAAAAGTAAGGGAGAGTAGGAGACCTGAGTAGGTCTGTGGGGGGAGGGGTTTATAAGTAAATTCTCCTGTATCAGAGGCATTGCGTATTCCTAGGACAATTGAGATTGACAGCTGAGGCTCCTTCCAGTTCGGAGATTCTGTGCCTCCTTCTGTTGATGAATAATGCTAAAGCTAGAACCATGGAGCATCGTGAACATCACACCTTGTTGTTGTAACTGTCCTGGCTCCTTGTGAGCAGCAGCCTCCATTTCCATCACAGTGCCCGTGGGAGGAGAGCCTGTACTCTCAGGCCCACGGTGGCTGCACCCCCAGGATGACTGCCCAGCAGGAGCCTGTGGACACCGTTGTTGGCCCTGCCTGATTCTTCCCCAGGAGCAGCATGCCCAAGGACTGTGGGAAGTGAGCATGGAACATTCCTGAAATAACTGGAAGGGTGCATTTTCCTTGCATCTGGGCCCATGCTCACCCACAGAGAAGGGAGTTTCCTGCCGGCTCGCTGGTCTGTTTGATTTGGAGTACGGCTCTGCTCTGTGCCGTGCTCAGCCCCACGAGTACCATACTTCCTACCACTCTGTATGGCTGTTTCTAGGAAAGAGCTGGCCACCGACAAGGTGAAAAGGCCTCCTTTTCTGAGGATATGACTTTTATAAACAGTGCAGGAGGAATTACTCACAGGAGCTGTCTGGGAGCAAAAACCTAATAAAGATGTCTACAGCCCCCCAGCCTCCTCGCTACTCTGGTTTCAGATGGCTTGCCCACTCAGATATCCTCCTTCTGTTCACTGGTGCATGACAGTTAGGTTCTGAGTCTACTCTTGGCTAAGTACCTTCAGCCCTGCGGGAACCAGAAGGAGTCTGAATGGGCAGCTGCTTTTAAAGGGAACATCAGACTGTATTCAATAGGCAGGCCCAGCCTGGTACAGACTTAATGTTCGGTCCTTCAACCACATTTTCAGTTCTAAAGTGAAAGGCTGGGAAGATAGGAACATATTTTTTACCCGGGGATTATATCTTGTCTGAATAAATCCTAAGCATCTTCCTTTCATTTTCCAAAACATGCAGACTTAATAGTCTAGCATCCAGGCTGTTTTGTGTCCAGGGCCCTTTGGGTCTAGGAGACGACAGGTTTCCCAGCCAGAAAGGATAGTCCATGTCCCCAGCATGTCTGCCCTTTAACTTTTCCAAGATGCAGGAAATTATTTTTTAGGCATCAGGGATCAACCAAGAATTTCATAGCGTGCTGAAAGGGAAGGGAAGAGAAGATGGAAGGCTCCGAGCCCAGAAGACAGCACAGTACAGCTCCCTCCGAACCCGGGGGAGGCCGTGGTTGCATGTGGAGGGAGGATGGTGTGAGGTTGGGAAGGGATGTGGGGGGAGAATGGGCTGTGAGTGACCTCCAGGTGGTTACTAAGACGGGAGAGGCAGTAAGCAGAGAGAGAAGAGGAAATAGGGGTAAGCTGGGGTGGGGACAGAGGGAGGAAGTCATAGGATGGGGGGCACTCTGACAGGAGGTAAAGCAAGACTGCCTTCTTCCTGCTAATAGAAGTCTAAGGAACATGCAAGAACCAGTGTCCGCCAGTATCAGGGACCCAGCTGAATGTGAAGTGGATGTGGTCCTGGCATTTCTGAGAGCTCATCTGGGAAATTCAGCAGTAGGTGTGCCAAGCAGGGCCGAGAAAGCCTGGGAACCCTCTCCCTGAGCACAGAGAAAGGGCTGGGTGCTGGGTGTGGTTGTAGGTGAGCGAATGCTGCAGAGCTTTGTTCAGCTGGGTGGAACCAGAAGGGAGGGGAGCTGTGGGCTCAGGGACGTGAGCTTGTCCGTGGGGAGGAGGGCCCAGAGAAGGCAGAGAGAGGGGCCTCGGGCAGGAGGAAGCTGGGAAGAAGGCCCTAGGAGGATTCTGGTGGTCAGAGCAGGCAGGGAGCACATTTGAGGTGGTGGAGGCAAAGCCTTGCAGGTAGAAAGCTGGTGTAGAGGGAGGGGGAGGCAGCAGGAAGCAGAGAAGGATGGAAACTGCGTTCAGGTTGTGTCGTCATTGTGGGTGTTACAGGAATGGGAGTCACAAAAGGAAGGAGTGAGAGTCAAGTCAGCCAGAAGTCAGCCACGAAGGTACTGACCCACCCTGGAGAGGTGCAGCATGTAGAAACAGGACGGGACTTCGAGTGTGGCAGTGGCTTCTGTGCAGTCAGGCGATCAGACAAGCCATGGGGTGTCTGCACGCTGGGAGGGCAGTGGCAGGCCAGCCTCTCAGTGAACCTCAGGAAGGGGCCAGGATGAGGCTTCCCCGGGAAAGCAGGGCCAGTGCCAGAGCCTCCAAAGATATCCTTTAGAAGCATCTTTGCCTGTGTTTCAGGATCGCAGGTGACACAGCCCTCAACAAAAACATCCACGAGTCCGTCAGCGCCCAGATCCGGAAGAACTTCGCCAAGAGCAAATGGAGAGTAAGTCTGTGTCCATCAGATTCCCAGGGAGTTTAACCACTGCCTTGAAACTTGCCTTATGGTTTGAGCATTTTTTATTTCTAAGGGTTATTGTCACCTGCGTTTGATGAAAATTCCCAGAACCTCACCCAAATAATTTTACTATTTTTTGACCAATAGTGATAAAGACTTGAAGGGACTATCATGGTGTGAGAGGGACGAAGTCTGTGATTTAGTATTTCCCTTCTGTGGCTTGAAAACAGCAGTAGGGCCAGCTGGCTCCCACTCATTTGCTGTGTCCTTATTTCTTCCACTTTGCTGGAACTTTGAATTGTCGACTTGTAATAAAGTGACATGAAGGGGAGACAAACTGGACATCTGAATTGAACCCATCAATCCTTTCTGATAAAAATGTGACAGATGTAAATCATTGAGGTGTTGTGATCATTGACTGGTTACCTAAATAAACCCTGTGTTCTAGTCAGCGTGGGTAACGAAGTGCCAACGGTGAGACCATACAGAAACAAATTAGTTCCACCGACCTCTAATTCAGAGGAAATGGTATCATTGGGGACAAAATCACTAGTAATAGGAAAATTAAAATTATTTTTAAATGTCATATTTTAAGGTACTATATTATTCTAATATGCCTTTTATTCCAAAAATCATTTCTCTTAGAGACAGGGTCAGTTTACATTCTGTATGTTTATTATGTCAGGAGAAAATATTTTCTTCAAAATGTATTTTGGTTGGGGGAGGAGTCAAATGCATTAGTGTACTTTTGGAAGAAGGGGTAATATAAATTTCCTTTCTAGAGTATCATGAGAACATTTTCAGAAGATGGAAATACTTAGGGTAACAGGAAAAATAATAGGAGACAGTCTGCATCTTTTTCATTAACTGGAATTATTTTGTCTGCTTTTTTTCCTTTCTTGAATTTCAGCAAGCATTTAATGCCACAGCCGTCGTGAGACATATGAGAAGACTCCATCTTGGCAGTAGCCTGGACAGTTCAAACGCAAGCGTTTCGAGCAGCCTCAGCTTGGCCAGCCAAAATGATTGTGCGTATGTAGCAAAAAAGAACTTTTCAACTGGCGTTTAAGACAGATGTGGGATAGAGAGGAGGGCACTGTCATTTGCTGAGTACCTGCTGTATGTCAGGCACTGTCAATGATTTATCCTATTTCATACTCCCAACAATCCTAGGACATGATTTAACTTTTCAAAGTATTTTCTTTTTATCACATTTATAGGGGTAACACTGGTTAATAGCATTATACAAGTTTCAGGCGTACACCTTTATAATATGGCATCTGTACACTCTATTCTGTGCTCGCCACCCGAAGCCTGGTCTCCTCCTTTCACCTTGTATTTGAACCTTTACCTCTTCTTCCTCCCCTGACGTCTCTTCCTTCTGGTAGCCATCATACTGTATCTGTGTCTATGAGTTTGTTTTTTGTGTGTTTATAGCTTTTCATTTAGTATGACACTCTCAAGATCCATCCATGTTGTCACAAATGGCAGTATTTCATCATTCTTATGGCTGAGTGGTGTTCCATTGTGTGCATGTACCACGTCTTCCTTATCCAGTCCTCCATCGCAGGACACTTCGGTTGTTTCCATGTCTTGGCCGCCGTGAATAATGCTGCATTGAACATAGGGGTCCATATATCCTTACAAAATAAGTGTTGACTTTTTTCGGGTGGATACCCAGAAGAGGGATTCCTGGGTCATATAGTACTCTATTTTGATTTTTTTTTGAGGAACCTCCATACTGTTTTTTGTAGTGGCTTCACCAATTTACATTCCAAAAATTAATTAACATTCACACAACCCTAGGCACTGCTATTTCCATTTATAGATGAGGAATCTATGCTTCAAATTCATGTCTGTCTGGACAAAAGCTCACTTTCTGCTCTGTCTCCTTACCCTCTTATTTGCTTGTCATTGTGAGCCACTCTTAAGGGTTGAGGAAGGGATGGCAGAGACTCCTGATGGCCTGCTCTCATTGACTTTTCATATGTGTATTTTATGAGGATGATGGTAATTGGAGCTGATTTATATAAAATGCATTCGCTTTACAATCAAAGTAATAGTAATAATATTTCCTTCTCCCTCATCTTTGCACAGACTGTTATGTCATTGAGAGTGAACTTATACCCTCCTTATTTCTCTCTCCCACTCCCTCCTCTGTATATTTATTTAATCTCATCTCAGGCCATTCCAATGGCTCCTCTCACTTTTGAGTAGTTGCCTTGACACTTCCCCATCTGCCCTCGTCTCCCTAGCCATTAAGCAGCCTTCAGCTTGGTTTCATTCCAGGCATTACATTTCTTCCCATTTCCCTTAGCAAAAAGGTTTGCTTCATCACTAAATAACCCTTCCATCTCATTCAGAAATGTCCAGCCCTTCAGTTTTTCCAAGAAATCTCCAAGAGTGTCCCCTGGCCCAACTGCACAGTACCGTAGACCCACATTTATAGGTCAGCATAGATCCTCTCCACCCTCTGGTCAAAGGAAACTGACAATCGGTTCATACAATGGCTTTGACAGTGAAGCCACCATAATCTTTTATTTTATGGATCTTCCAAGCCTGCAAAGTCTATGGGGAAAACTCTACTGGAGCTTAGCTCAGTGGACTCATCCACATCCAGACGTCCCGGTGCCAGCACTTCCACTTGGGAAGCATTGGGCTGCGGTCTGTGAGGAACTTGTTCAGGCCAGGGCTGCAGAGTTCATGCAGGAATAGGTAAACAGCCCATCTCGATGTGCTGTCTGTCACAGGTGCTTCTTAGCCAAGAGTACAGACCACACACCAAGCAGGGGTCATAGGGGGTATCACATTCTTTCTTCATTCTTAAAATAACGACTTCATGAAGCTGTTGTTCTCATAATGACAGTGTGTACTCAACACCTGGCCCGATGCCTAGTACATAGTAAGTGCTCATTAATGGACCCTATTGTATTATGGTGGCTAAACCATGTCATATTCAAATACAAAGCAGTTATAAGTATAATGTAAAAAGGGGGAAAGAGTTGGGTCTAAAAAGAGAGCATTCTGGACACATTACAAATGCTTTTCTATGGGTAGGCAAAAATTTAGAGTCCAAAGCATAGAAGTTAGGCCCCTACACAAACCCTTGCAATAAGAGGGGGTGGTATTTCCTTCTGAAGTTTTGAATCCTTGTGTCCACTGTCCCCTGCAGGTCTGACGCCCTCCACGCTCTGTAGTTTCATTTCCTCTTCGTCAGGGGTCCCAGGAGTGGGAGCGGAGCGGAGACCGAGGCCCACCACTGTGACAACAGTGCACTCTGGAAGCAAGTGACTGGCTCTGGAGGTGGGGCCCAGGGGCAGGGCCTCGGGCAGAGCCAGGGAAGGGGGCCCCCAGGGGCCGCCAGTGCCACCAGCCACCCCAGAGTGATCCCACCTTGCATGGTACGCCTACCTGCACAGGACTGGAAGACAGAAGTTTTTTATGGCCATATTTTATACTGCAATTCTGAAGTGTTCATTTCTCACAAACTGTACTGACTCAAGGGAGCTGATTTAATAGGACTTGGTGCTGTATATATGAATCTTGCAAAGCTCTAATGGAACGGACTTTCTTTCTCCTCTCCCCAGCTTCCGTCACTTCTGCTTCTCTCAGTATAGGTAACCGTCTATGTTGTATTTTTTCATTAATGACAAAAAAGGTTTCAACTGGATTATTTAAGTATTGGTAAATATTGTGCATTAGGGTTTTTTTCCTTTTAAGATATATGTTCTGGCAGTCTATACTTAGTTACATGACCTATATGATTTGCTTGTTGGTAGTAACGTTTTATGTTAACCGTTAAGAGATTTATTCCCTCCAAGGTGAATTTCAAGGTATTTTTAAAATTTCTAATAAGAGGATCGAGAATCTGTCTCCAAGGTGAAGAGTGCACTTTACTTCTGCTTCTTTTCTCTCTCTCCCCTCCTGGGAGGGGCAGCTCTCTCAGAAGACAGCTGAGCAGCTCTGCAGGGCCGGCTTCTCCCATCGCTCTCGGAGGGGCCTGCAGAACCCTCTCCCAGCAGCTCCTCCAGCAAACCCCCACCAACCAGAGGAGCCTAGGAGCCTCTTGCCACCAGCGTTCAGAAATGAAGAAGCCTGCTCCCCCAAGACTAAAACTTTAGAGGCTAGACTTGCTGTGAAGGAGATGCCCACCCAGCAGATGCTTAAGGACCTTTCTCACAAAAGGGACAAGATGCCATTTCGTTTAAAGTGAACTTTCCACACTGCTCTCATTTCTCCTGGGGGGTAACCATGGAAGCTCTGCTCTCAGCTATGCAGTTTTCAAATTAATCGCTCTTTCTCTCTGTTTTTAAAAAATGCATTTCTAATCTTACACTTAAAATGACCTCCAACTCACATAACTTGTTTCTGCACATTTTTACTCTGTTCTTGTATGAATATTATCTGGAGGAGGAGAGGGAAATGGCCTTGGAAAAGAATTTATCTGGGGTGGTAAGGAGAGGTGACCTGCCAAACAAGCAGGACACGGGCTGCAGTGATGGCCAGAGATGGTCTCAGCCAGGCCCAGCTGGCACTTGAAGCTGTCTCTCTAAGCAGGGCTATCTGAAAACCAAAGACTTGTGATGGAGGGACTGAAGAATTTCCTGGGGTGTAGGACGCGCAGTGCTAATATTGGGAATGACCCAGGCAAACCAGGCCATGTTGTTCACCCACGTGGTGGATGGGTGTGCAAGATAGAGCAAGCACAGTGTGAAATCCAGGGCAAACCACTTTTCAAGGAAACTTCAAGGATGCTGTCTCGTGGAGGCAAGCAGGTGGCTTCAAATGCCAGCTTTGCAAAAGCCCTCCCTCGATGGCCATGCAATGCCGTGAGTCTGCATTCCGCACAGTCAGCTCCAGGCCATTGCGTGTCCTTGTGTAGGCCTGCTGATGGTCCAGTGACTTTCCTAGCTGTTGTCCTCACGCTTTGCTCCTGCAGTTGGCCAGACTTGGCAGGTCCTGTTGGTCAAGCCATTCTCATCACTTCCACAACTTTGCCTGTGTCCAGGCCAAATGTTTAGGGACAGCCTCCCCCCAACGCACACACACACCCACACAGAATTATTAGCGTCAGAGCTCCATCCTGCCTCCTTTAGGATGGCAGTGCAAGTATGCATAAGAGCAGCTGGAAAGACAGGGAGCTGGTCTACCCTGTTCCCACATAAGTCATAGGCACTGAGCCCTTGGACGGGAATCCCACTCGGCACCTGCCACACATGCAACCAGAGTAAAATCAGGCTGTCACTCTTCAAAATCTGTAAAAAGCTTGGAAAACAATAAAATGACAATAGACCCAGTTAAGAAACAAGTGTCATCTGAGTTGGATATACATAACATAGCCCCCTTCAGAAGGGCAATAGCTTGAGTCTTATAAAGAGAATCTGAGGAAATTGAGGCATCTCCCCAGGAGGTTTAGTAGGATGTTGCTTATTAACAAGTATAATGGAACATTTAAGTTTCTACAGTATAAGAAAACAATAATTAGATGTCATGTGGGGTGAAAATTTGCCTGAACTCGGTACCTGCATAGTCATCAGCAATTTGTACTATGTGTGATACGCAGCCAGTTGCATTGGGAAAGCAACATTTAAAGCTAAATTCTATTATTGGTGGTTACATTATTTTCTGGAGCTAATATGTGGGGTGCATGTTATATTCAGTTAGTTCGAAATTATGTCTTACCTGAAAAGTGTGGAGCAGCTGAAAGGTGGGCCCTGCTGCAGGTGTCCTCGTGCGGTTTGGGTCAGCTCTTGGCTGTGCTTGGCCTGTAACACATCAGGTTTCAACCACATAGCGCCGGGGATGGGGATGGGTTTCAGCCTGGAGCTTGAACTTGGTGTCAGGCAAGTCCATACAGTCTCAATGTCAGACTTAGATTATTTCCTATTTTATAAAGAGGAGAAAATAACTACCATATGGAAGAACTTTGGCTCTTTTGAGAGAGCCTGAGTGGTCTAAGGCTAGAGGTTCTCTTAACACTGCATTTGGTGTTTTTTATGCTCATTACAACATGGGAAGAGAACCTGAATGTGCCTTCTGTTAAGACCTGCCGAGTAGGTGGCAGAGCCCTAGGACCCTCACCAATGACAGATTTCACCAAGAGTAGCTGAGCATTTATATGTACCTGGCTTATACTCACCCTCAAGCCAGTGTGTGTGGCTGAGGCTCAGGCTGGACCACTGGTCCATCACAGGCTTCCTTCCAACCCTAAGCCCCCCTTTGGGTCTCCTCACATTCTTAGAGCAAGTGGATTTTTTCTCACCTGAATACTACATTTGAAATAGTGTCCTTGAATGATTTTTCCCTCAGCTGCCTATCTGTGCCTGCCTCGCTTCCCTCACCTTAGTGTCACCGTTGAGGGCATAAGAGAAGCTAGCATTTGTCTGAAACAGTGAGCACCTGCTCACACACGGGTCCCAGCAGACCAGCAGCTTATCACGCTTAACCAGGCTCTTGGAGCCTGGACTGCTCCCTGCTCCCCCTCAGCGAGCACACTGGGGTCTGGAGTGTCGGGTCGGATTGGGGGAGGGTGGAGGCAGCTGGAGCCAAGAGGGGCAGGGCCTGCCCACGTGAAGTGCTTCAGAAAGGATGTCCAGATGGAGCGGCAGCAACACCTGGGCCCCGCGGCAGCTTCACCACCTACTGCCCCTGGCTCCGCAGGACAATAGAAAGGATTGTCCCCTTCATGTTCCCTCTTAAAGAAAACTATGCAGGAAGCACACCCCAAAGGGCAGGCATGGCTCTATGTTCTTGACTGTGGAGGTGGTTCCAGTCACTTCAGAAATCTCACCACAAGAACTGAGCAGACCGCCCCCCCGCCCCCTCCCCAGCACAGGAGCTTGACCTTTGAGAGGGTCCTGCTCTCCAGAAGCTCTTAGCTAGTGTCCTAGGAACTTAGCAGTCCAACTTGAGGCAAAAGAAGACTCTTTTGGCTAAACAGGTCAGGCGCTGACACTCAGGAGGCATGAGCCATCTGACAAGAGAGATTAGGCACATGGCCCTCAGACTCAGTTTACCTGCCCAGCACTAATCTCCTGTTCACTTGTCTGCCTTGGTGTCCAGCATGTCTGGATGGATTGTGGAGAGGGAGAGGGGGACTCCCCTTTAGAATGAAAGCCCGGACACCAGACCCAAAGGGAGCCCAAGGGACCCCTCTGAAAGGAGGCTGACCCTCTCTCAAGGAATAAACAGCTTAATCTGATTAACCCACTGGAGTTTGACATTTCATGAGCAGTTTGAACAGAAAGGAAAGAATGTATCCCAGTGGAGATAAGTCAGTGTTGTTAAGGCTTTGGCCACTATGGCCCTGCTGCCCACCCTGAGCCTTGGCCGCAATCAATTTCACCCTGGAAAAACCACACTGACCCATCTTCACTCCAGGGTTGAAGACAGGAGAGCTGGGGTCATTGCCTTGTGCTTCTGCCAGCAAAACACCTTGCTTCGTGTGATTCTCACAGCGCACTGCTGGGTTCCTTTGGGTATGAGAAAGGGAAGCAAGGGTCGGCAAAGGGCAGCTCCTCCTGCTTTCCCAAAGAGAAATAAGATGCACTCTTTCCCAGGGCCACACAGTCACCTCTAGCAAATGAAACGAAGGTCCTCTGACTACTGTGCATGGAGCCTTTGCATGTTCCCTGAAACGATGCCCTCCTCGTTCTGTCTGCTCACACTCGCAGTTTGCCTTTTCCTCAACACATTCCAGACCAAACACTGTCTCGTTTGTCTCCAAAATAAATGTGTATGCCTGTATGGATCCACCATGCTTTTGGGGGGCACATAGTCCTATTTGGGGGCTTCAAGTGTACCTGACATTTGCAAAAGAAGTATTCCAGTCCTTTGGTTTTCAGAATTGAAAATATTAAGATAGAAAAGGTGACTGGGGCAAACAGATTCCTAAAAGGGAGACTTATTTCCTGAAGACTCAAGAAAACTAATCTATAGATGAGTTCACTACTGTGAACAGCAGACAGGGAGGAGAAGCAAGAGAGAGGCTCACGCCCCCTTCGGCCCAGACCGTCATTGTGGTCCCCTTGCCTCGCGGCCTGCCACCAGGAGTGGTACAGCAGCTTAGCCCCACTGTGAGGATGGCCCTGCACGCCAGCCGAGGCCTGGCCCCAGCAGGAGGGCACATCAGCCCCCGGCCTTCTCCACCACGTGCAGCAGGAGCAGCTCCGCTGAGGCTCTGGGGGCCCCACTTCTACAAACCTAAAGGCTGTGCATTTGGCAGCCAAATCCACAGCATGTTGCTGCCAGGTCTGGTTTTGTGGACAAAGCGTGGAATGGCTTCTCTGTATATTTCTACTACACCAAAGGGAGCTGTTGCATTCAACCTTTGTACTGAAGCCGCTTCTGCATTCGCCATATCCATTTGTAACCTTTTGGTCTCCAGGGAACAACTTCTACGGTGATTATGTCTTCTGCTTACTTACTGAATTATTTACTTAGAGGTGGTTTTATTTTCTTATGGACAGGAAAAAAGAAAACAAGAGGAGAGTTTGAGGTTTCAGTCATAGCGATATCACCAAGGGCTGGAAAGCCCCAAACACCAGATAAATTACTTCTCAAAGGAAAACCTTAAATCTGGACAGACAGGTTCCTGGCCCTCCTGGTACGCCTGCACTTTGGGGAGCTGGGGTGCTGGGGCAGCCAGGCTTGGGAGAGGAGAGAGAGAGAGAGAAGGGGAGGGGGAAAGAGGTTCGTGTTCTCCTTCCCAGGGCACTTGGCCTCAGAGTGGCATGAGATGCTGTCCAAATGGCAATAGAAATGCTTGGTTTTCAAAGGTGGGGTCATGTGTTTCAGAGAACATTTATCTTAGTCCCGTGCACAGGTTGGAAGACATAAAAGGTACATTCTGTCCAGAATCAAATTTGGGACAATTTTTCAATTGGCTTTAGTCACTGCACACAATTTCACCACCCTGCTCACAGCTCTCCCAGCACTGAGCATGTGTCCCAAAAGAAATGTCCCTGTGTCTATTATTACCAGGCTTGCAATTGGTTCCATTTTCCCATAAAAACATGCTTGTCCAAAAGAAGGGAAACTGTGCATTTATTCCATGCATGTAATAAACTCTGCAAGAAGTTTTACCGTCATAGGTTTGCGGCTCTGCAAAATTGTGAACGGGCTATGTAGCAAATGATTCTCTGCCTTGACAATCATGTACACATATCAAGATTTCTATCATAATTACGAGACTGATGACTTCTTGTTTTCCTCCAATAAAGACAGTTAATCACCTTCAGATGTATGTGGTTTGTTTCCTCCATAAGGAGCAGGAGGTGGGTGTCCCAACAGTTCTCTCTCTCCTCTTTTCTCTGAATTTTGGATTTGAAGGAAGGGGTTTGAATTGAGCCCTTGGAAACACATGAGGCTCCCTAAATATTTCATGTCACTGGTCCAATGAGCAGGAAGTGCCGGGGGGGCGGGCGCACATGTTGTCTTCGGAGTGTGTGGAGGGTGCCCAGGTTGAACACCCTGCTGGACAAGAAAGCTCCCCCCTTCTCCTTGGTGCTGCAGAAAGTGCCTGGACTGAGCCCGGAAACTCTAATCATACCAACTAGGTAGTCGTCATTCGTTTGGAAGAAAAGCCCGGGTTAATTCTGGGAAGTCCTAAGTGGGGTTGAAAGGGCACACATGGCCCTGTTCTCAGCACAGCCTCAGAGTTCTCCATGCCCAAAGAAAGAGTCTTTTCTGAGCAGAAGGCTGGCTGCTATCTTTTCT